AGATCACAAGCATTATTGATTCTCCTGTGTACACTTGTTCATTATTAGATTGGTGGCAAAGGCTATCTGACGTTTGAAATGCTCATTGGGTAGAGATTATGAGCAGCTGAATGTCATATGCACTAATGCCCTTAAACTTCACTTCAGATTACGTCTGATCTCGCTGGTATTTTGGCCCTCTGTCTCTCCACCACAGCTGCTCCATTATGCTCTACTTATAGCATCTGTGTATCATCCATCAGTGTGTCTTTACATGTCATCTGAAGAAGAACATGTCATTGATGGAAAAGGATTTCCAATCAGATATCAATTGTTAAGACTGTGTTGCTTTTAAAATGTCATCAGTGTTTCCTAAACAGGAAAGGCCAAGTCCACATCCCTGAGCTATGAGTGCATGACAAAACCTGCACAGTGTGCATTCCTGTCTGGAAGCAGCATACGGACACTCTCTCTTGCTTTCTTCTGGAGAGTGTGTATGGGGCAGAGGGTTTTGTAAAGCTGCTTTAACCTATTTGCCTTAAAACTAAATAGTATAAATTTTTATGTTCCTAGCATATCATTTTTAATTATTAATAATAAGTGAAGAGTTAATTTGCAAAAAACGATAAACGCCACTTAAAAAAAAATAAAAGAGCTGATTGCCGTGCATTATTCTCCACATATAGCGCGATCTGAACCCTAAACACGTTTTGTCAAAAAAGCCGGTTTTGTCCACTTTCAAGGCATCGCGAGTTCACGTTTTCTGCAGAAGCCGACAAGCGCCCTTGTTGTTTTTGAACAGAAGCCGATAAATCCATTTTAGCGATTAGCGAATCAGCGCGCTCTATTCAGGTCAGGTGACAAGGCTACTTTCACTTTGAAAAGACGTGCTAGCTGAGAGGAGTTTCGTCAAAACTGACTAAAAGTGATCGAGGATGGATAATTTCGACGAACTTGATGAACCTGTGATATGTTCTTCAGGGCGAAAAAGGAAAATAAAATCTGAAAAGTTTTCACGGAACCTTGCAAAAGCAGCGCGTTAATGGTGAGGGAAAAGCTCCGTGTATTGCGTGTAATCACATCCATACAGTTTATGATCACAACAACAACAACAACGTTTGTCAGGCATCTACATTGTCATCTGAGGAGATTACAAAGATTAAACGAGTGTTTTTTTAAACTCTAAAACATGAAATGTGGAGTTAACTGCTAATGCCAAAAAACGACTGTTGGAGTTCTCTGCTTTTGCTATAAAACAAACTTTTAATATGTAAAAAAAAAAATACTTTAAATGAACTTTAATTTAGTAAATTACCTGTATTTGTTTAAGTTATTATTACTTAATCAAAATAACCCAACTGCAGTTTGATTGATATTACTTGGAATGCGCAATAAAAAAAAACGTGATTTCTGGAAAAAAAAAAAACGTTCAATGGAGTTATCGGTTTTTGCAAATGAACTCTTCAAGTATAATTGTGGCTTTCTCAATAATTAGGTAATACTATTTATACTCAAATATATAACAGTATCAATTCCAGTTTTCCTAATACTACCTGAACAGACAGTAGTACATTTTTTGTATGACAGTCATTACTAATACTAATATTGTAATTGAATGAAGTAACCATTCTGACATGTGGTAGTATATGACAAGAAGAAAAATAATTGTTACCAATGAAATAAATGTATATATTCCAGTTTTCCTAGTACTAACTGAATATACAGTAGTACATATTTTTCTGTTCTAATTATGTCTACTTATATTTTAACTGAATTTTAAAAGTAGACATTCTGACTAGTGATTAAAATGATATGACAAGTAAAAAGAAACTGTAACTAGTGAAATGAGAATTGTTACTAACCATTGGGACAGACACTATATAGTCTCTCATAAAAATAAGTACAGATTAAGCTGAAATAGACAATAACTATTAGGATTCTTAATAGTACATAAGAAATAAGTAGGTCAACTAGTACATATACTGTATTTTTTTCTAAATAAAACAAGGATCATTGGAGTTTTTACAAGAAAATAGGCTACTATTTCAATTTTTCTACTTCAAAATGCCACCGTGTCCTTGTTATACATGTTACATGATGTAGGCTATTATTATTATAATAACAATAAATTATCCACAGTTACATGCAAGTAACCTTAAGCCAAACCCTAATCCTAACCCTAACAATATAGTAAGTAAGTGTAGCTAATTAATATTACTCAGTACTTAAATATATAATTACAGTGTAACAAGGACACCTTAAACTAAAGTGTAACCACAATGTGTTACATACTGTTTCTTTGTAATTGTGAAGTTTGCTAGCAATTTCTGAGTGAAAATTGTTTCTACACCATTTTTTAGTTACTAAAACAGAGATAGGTAGCAGTAATATAAAATTCAAGTAAGAAATCTACAGTCTGTTCTCAGTAACAATGGAATAGTTGTTATAGCTCTAGCTTCAAAGCAATAGGCACTATATGTACTGTGAAAAAGTTAATAGATTGTAGTCAAGCACAGGAATCGAAACACTTGCTAGTAAATCTGAAAAAGATACTAATATTAAACCCCATGTATAGTCACATGAACACTGATACAAGTTATTTTAAAGGAATAAATGTTCGCAATGTGGGCACTGTCTTCCACAGATACCGTCATCCCTCTTCTAGTCCCTAGATTAGGCGCATCCGCAGCGCAGCACAGCGCGCGACGGCCTGGTTCTGTCCATGGTGCTAGTTATCATTGCGCGAGGGGGAGATTTATTCACTGAGGCTGGAAGCAGCCTCTCTGTTTCTTTCTCACTGTCACTATCTGCGTGCGCACACATGCACGTATGTGTGTGTGTGTGTGTGTGTGTGTGTGTTTAGGCACTGTATGAAAACGCCATGTCGTCCTTTGTGCCATTATAACCGTTTTGGCTCATCTTTTTGCAAAACAAAACACGCATACCCAGACCACACGCACACCCCCTCTTGCGCGACGCGTGTAGTGCTGTGCGGATCACACACACCATGGTGCGCCGAGCAGAGGCGCAAAATGGCACACAAGCGCGATCAATACATCACTACAAGGCACTCTTCCCGCTCACCCATTCCTATCCCACCGGCTATAGGTCATGCAGAGACACTGCGGGGGGACATTTTTTACCTTTCATCCAGTCCAGCACCTGCTTTGGGTACCATTTGCTGATGGGTTCCATGACGAGCGCCATGGCTGGTGTGCGTTGATTTCCCGGTTGAATTGCGTATGGAACGCGCGGACCATCCGAACCCAGAGAAACAGAACGGAACCGCCGTTAGATCACAGGGGCACATGTGATTCCGTTGCATTGACGGAGCCTCGCTGTTGGATACATCCTCGCGGAGGACTGCGACGGTGAGAGATCCACGCTCGCGTCTCTACCCCGCCCCCCCTCCAGCGCTCTCTCTCTCTCTCTCTTTCTCTCTCTCTCGCTCTCTCTTTCTCCAAAATGTGCACCTGCTTCTCCAGTCTACCGAGTGCAGATGCAGGGGGGGAAATGTGTCTCTCGCCCCCCCTCCCTCCCTTCCGCGCTCGCAACGCTGCAGTATCACATGGGTCAGCGGTTCCGTGAGCGTGGGGACTGTTCGGTGACACTACCGATAAACGCTGAACAGCTCCGCTGGGTCCGATACTGAGCGCGACAAGCAGCCAAGTGCCTTGCAAACGACTACTTGGTATGCGTGCTTGTATGCGTCTCTCTCTTTCTGGGTTGGACCGTTTTGGGTCTACGCGAGCTCCCCTGTCCGCGTCTGGAAAATTTCTGCGCGCTCGTTCGCTTACGTCACCGCAGCCCAATATCACTCGAATAGCAAAAGTCGGAGTGTGCGCCTGCTGGACCCATAGCTGCGCAGCACAGTGAGGTAACCGCAACCGACTGAACCAGGGAAACCGGGTCACCTGATAAAACAGACAGGGAGCTGCTCATTAAATGATCGGAAAGGCACAGAAAGAGAAATCAGAATGGGGGTTCTGGGGCTCTGGTTATGGAGCAGTAACAGATAAGGACGTCCGAGATTACAGAAAGAAGAAATCCTTTAAAATATACTTTGAAACACATGTGCCACGATCTAAAAATGTACAATCTTTGTGCTCATATTGGTTTTATATACTTTTCGCCAACATATTGATTTAATGACAGATGTAACCAAATGAAAAGTACTAAAATACTTTGTAGGCTACATTAAATTAAATTATGCATTGTGAAAAGCACTATGCAAATACATGATTTGAATTATTCATTGTTTAAAGAATTTTTAAGGTGATAGATAGATAGATAGATAGAATTGCAAAAGCATGATGCCTTGTTTATTTCAAAATGTAATTTTCTTTATTATTTATTTTTTCATTTTAGGAATTGCAATTTGCATCCTTTTAATTCAGTCTTCGGTTAAATAAAATTTGACTGAAGTCTTAATTCATTTTAATTCAGAAATTTAAAAATTTGCCATAAACATCTCAAAAGAAGGTGTTGAGTTATTTGTCTATAAATAGCATTTACTTTAAATGTATTTAATTTATTTTTTTTAAATGTAGCAGAAATGGCCATCACATCATTGACCCATATGCATTTACATTCCTGTCCCGTACCACAGGACATCCAAATATGGCAAGGAAATAGATTGAATGTTATTCTAGCCTGGGCAGTTTCCAGGACTACTGGAGAGAGAGAGAAAGAGAGAGAGAGGTCCATCTGGTATTATGGTTTGCCACATGGTGCCAGGCTAAAGAGCCCGTTTAGATGCCCACAGAGCAGCTACAAGAGTGTGAAGTAGCCATGTTGGCACAGAACAGATTAACACACACATGCAAACACATTTACAGATCACAGTTAACAGTTAATCCCGTTGATGATGCTGTGAGTTTGGCTTCTGTGTACCGATGCCAGGATATCAGCACACACACACACACACACACACTCATGGCCCATTAACTGTTATGTCGGTGCCTCCCTAAATGTGACGTCAGAATGACGTCAAATCAGTATGTCAGCACATTCATGGCAGTAGAGGCATTTAGGTTTTATTTCTTCCATCCATTACTACATTAAAATGCAATGCTTAATATAACATATTGAATGCAGTGCGCGTATTTTAGCTATAAACATCGATGTAATATATAAAAATTTAATTTTCACAGCTCTGGGTGAAGGACAATGTCATGGACAGTATAACATAATCTTTCATCGGGACATTGGCCGCCGTTCCCGAAGCTCCCAGTAGAGGGCGCCAGCAATATATCAGCATTTGCTTTCCATCTGGGTGTCATTCCACAGTATGAACAGCAGGTGTCAGTATTTAATAACAATTATTGAAGAGTTTCACATTATAGAAACATTACCACAAACATCTAATGAAAAGAATGGATATAACTGAATTATGGCAACATAACTAAGGACATAAGTTAATAAAGTTTCAATTTCATTTCAAACACTTTTTTAGGAAAGTGAAAGTGTAGCAGTCAGCAGCACGACTGAGGGAGAAAAACAACATTTGATTGGCTGTTTAGGAGGAAGTGGTAACATTTATAAACGTCTATACACAGTATACACATGACAGTGTGACTTTGGTTCCTCTTCCAAAGTACCTTGTGCTATTAATGTTGATGGAGGCGACAATGGAAGAGCAGAGGCTAGGGGAGGGTGGTGGATGAGTAAAGAGAAAAAAAGAGGAGGAGAAATATTTAGATGTTTCTGAGTTGTTTGCAATTGTTTTGTCAACACAATTTGTCATTCTCTGAGGTTTGGAAAGGATGAATTTAGAAAAATATTAATTAACCTCTGTCAACAAAATTTGTAAATGAAGCAAAAAAAAAAGTGCAGTACAATACAACTTACTATTTACAATGGGGGGTTAAGCAAGGAATAATTAAATTGATCAAAAAGTGACAGTAAAGACATTTATAATGTAACAAAAGATTTCTATTTAAAATAAATTCTGTTCTTTTGAACTTTCTATTCATCAAAGAATCCTGAAAAAAATGTATTACAATTTCCACAAAAAGCATTTGTTGCTGTTTTCAGAATTGATGATAAAAAATATTTCCTGAGCAGGAAAGCTGCATTTTAGAATGATTTCTGAAGGATCGTGACACTGAAGACCACTGAAAAGACTGCTGAAAATTCAGCTTTGCCATCACAAAATAACGTTTTTTAATAATGAATATATTAATTTGTTTTATACATTTATAACAAAATAAAAAAAAACTTAATTTAAATTGTAATTATATTTAACAATATTGTGGTTTTATTTTATTTTCGATCAAATAAATGCAGCCTTCATGGTGAGTATAAGACTTCTTTTTTTAAAAATAAAAAATCTTATTGACCCAAACTTTTAATCCTAAGTGTATAACTTTACATGGACAAAGTCCCTATGTCTCATGTTAACACAAATTATATAAATCATATGTCTATACTTTTGAAACATGATGTATGTTAATGTTCATTGCCTTGCCTTGTGTACTTCATTGGAATAATTTTTTTTTAAATCACTAGTTATCAACATGCCACAAGTGCTGTCGGTATTGCATGCAGAACATTCCTTTAACAACACAGATAACTTAAAATATTTGTGTGTTGGTCAAAAGACAGGAGCCCAACATTGGAAATTTTATGAGGGCAGGATCTGTGTGTGTGTTCATGAGGTGGCTTACTCAGCTTCTGAGATTCGCAGCACAGGTGAGCTGAAGTGGGAGGTGGCTGGAGCTGAACAAGCGCTTAAATAATGCACAGCATTATTGGATGAAGAATCCAGCTCTTCTCCCTGACTGGCTGTTTGTCTTTTGGCTACAGTCAGGCTGGTGGGCACCAGTGCCGGCATGACGTCAGTGCTCAGCAATGATGATCCACAGCACGCCATGTTTTGCATGTGCTGACAAAACACCTCCAGCATTTGGACTTCTAGATAGCCGTTCAACATGGAGTTGGTGAGCCTTCTCTCCCAGCCAGGACCCTGAACGCTTTCCATGACAAGATACTCCTCGTCCTGCTGGGTCAAAGCCTCTGCCTGTTGACCTGCTTCCAGAGAGGGTTCCAGAGAGCTCAGGTCCTGCGATTGTAGCAGTGGCCCAGCGTCTGTTGGGTTGAGCAGGTCTGGGTTATGAGGACTGCAGTGCTCCAGCCGGTCACCAGCAAGCCGGAGGTCTGGATAGTTCTTGCAGAAGCTGGGACAGCACCAGGAGCAATACAGCATCATGCCCAAGTGATCCTCCCCGCTACAGCTGAGAATGGGCATAGCGTTGCTGGGTGCAGAGGCTCGGTGCTGCCCTTGCTTTTTCAGGCATTCGGGCCTGCCAGCTGACAGGAAGAGAAACATGTCAGGCACTGCTATAACAGCCTCATCTTAACAAAAACTGTGAGGAAACTTGAGGGAAAGCCCAGAGTCTGAAGCAAAGAGTCTTAATTCACTGAGTGACTGTTTGAATGTCTCCATACAAATGCTGCTTTTGTGCAATTCACTTAGACACTCAGCTAAATGAGGAAGCACTTGGAAAAGTTTGACAAAATGTTCTTATTTAGGTTGGATTTCTTTCTACTTCTTCAAACATCCTCTTTTGCATTGTCATAGCTGTAAGCTGAATTGGAATATTAGCAAAGATGCTTATTTTGTTATACACTGTTGCACATTATTATCACTTAAAGTCGACATGCAAATTACATTCTGATCATCTTTTCTTCTCTATTGCAAAGTGTACCTTAGTTAACGAGTCAAACAAGAAAAAAGAGGGTGGAATTTTGTCAATGTGGAATTGATTGGATCGTTGTCTTGTGAGTTGATGCAGTCTCATGTGATCGACTGGTTGTTGAAGGTTATTGTTGTTGAGAGGGGAAATTAATGTTTTTGATTAAACGTAAGGGCACATGAATCTTAAAAAAAAACAGTGATGTGCATGGATATATCTGTGATATTTCATGAAAAATAAGAATTGTTCATCTTGATTGTTTCATGGTGACTTTAAATGCATAGTTCACCCCAAAATAAACGTTTTGTGTTCATTTACTCACCCTCATGTCATTTAAAAACCTGCATACATATTTCTTTCTGCTATGTAACACAGAAGATAATGTTTTGAAGGGCTCAGTGTTTTTTGTCTATAAAAAGAAAGTTGTCTTGGACCCCATTTATTTACATTGTATGGATATTCAGTTGACAAATTCTTCAAAAAGTCTTCTTTTGTACTCTGAAAATCATACAGGTTTGTAATGACTTAAAGGGGTCATATGATGTTGCTAAAAAGAACATTATTTGGTGTAATGAAATGTGTTTATGCGGTTTAAGGTAAAAAAAAAAAAAAACATTATTATTTTCCCCATACTGTACATTATTGTTTCTCCTCTATGCCCCGCCTTTCTGAAACGCGTCGATTTTTACAAAGCTCATCGGTCTGAAAAGCGAGGTGTGCTCTGATTGCCCAGCTATCCAGTGCGTTGTGATTGGCCCGCTTTGTCCACGGTGAAAGCCGATCCGGCGATGCACAGCGCGATGTTGATGTATTTCCTCAGCGACCAGCACGGATCAGCTCCAGGCATGACGAAGCGGATATCGTCCTCTTTTGGAAGGCCAAACAAATTAGTTTCGCTTTTCACAACACACAGCGCCTTCATGACATGGCAGCGGCGGCGGCAACAACAATACTACAGCGAGAATAAAAGTTGCGCCTTCTTTCTTTGCGTGAACATTTGGGCGGCGTTATGCAAATCTTCCCACATCGTGACGTAGACATGTGGGGGCGTGTTTTAGCAGTTTTAGGTAGGCGTGGCTGACTCTTTAACTTTCATAAAGAATATCTCTTTGGATTTGAGACTTTAGTCTTTGCAACTTTACAGATCTTCTTTATGCACCAAGAGCTTGTAACACTCCAAAGAGAAAGGAAAAATTTAAATCGCATCATATGACCCCGTTAAAAATGTTAATTTTGTACATTCTGCATTTATAACTGTTCTGTATACGCTACTCAATTTATGTGGCTTTTCAATCTGCGGGCTAAAATGCTCAGCAGCATCACACTTCCCTCCTAAAATTTATTTTTACATATACTGACTGTTCCCAGGACCTGGGCCACATTCGTATTCTATAATTAATTTTCCTCCATTGTTCAAATAAAATAGCTAGATTGCTTTACCTGGCATAAAAACAAACATCTCCCAATGCCATCCGTCAGGTGATCATGAGTTTATTTTTAGACAACTTCATCCTAATAACCCAGAATGGTCTCTCACCTCTCACAGTTCGTGGTGTCAGAGGAGATCTGGCAGCGGCGTTCGTTGTGCAGGGGTCAGGACGGGTCGTGGGGGTGGGTAAGTGTGTGTGAGTACGTCCATCATGATTTGTGATGTCTTCTGTGCAGTTCAGAACATAAAGGAAAGCTTCTCCGAGCATGATAGTATTTCTATAGTCTTTGATGATAGCCACCTACACAGAAAAGCACAGCTCTAGCTTCAAATGAATCAACATTTTAATACTTACTAAAAAAACAGAGCATAATCAAACAGAACATCAAGCATAAATTAAATCAAACTGAAATGAGGAATTTACCAGAACTGAATGAGTTATGGAAACTTCACACACACACACACACACACACACACACACACACATACACACTGAACGTACTGACTGCACTTCCTTCCTCTATAAATGATTTAGATTAGCAGAATCTACAAATTAAATGACAAAATTTAAAGCTATAGTTCATCCAAAAATTACAATTCTATTATCATTTACTCACCCTTGGATCAAGTTGATCCAAATTTGTATGCATTTCTTTCTTTTGTTGGGCACAAAAGAAGATATATTGAAGAATGTTGGTAACCAAACAGTTGATGGTAGCCACCGACTTCCACAGTATGGAAGAAAAAAATATACTATGTGAGTCAGTGGCTACCATCAACTGCTTGTTTACCAGCATTCTTCAAAATATATTTTTTTGTGTTTAACAGAACAAAGATCATAAAGGTTTGGAATAAGTGAAGGGTGAGTAAATTATGACAGAATTCGTTTTTGGTTAAAATTTCCAAAGACTTTAAGAATTTAGAAGATTACTACAATTTTATCACTGTAATCAGATCAATCAAATAGGCCTAGGCTACCCCAAATATACTGTCCAAATCCTTTAGACAACTAGTGAACAAAACACCAGCATATAATTCTATAGTCACAACTGTCTATTTATATAGGCTATATAATAAAAGAAGCTTACCAAATGTTTTAGAGTGGGATTCCTTGTAGGCCTATGGCTGCAGAAACAGAAATTTCAAGAGTGACAGTAATAGTCAGCAATGTCCAATCTATAGTGTCACTTTTGGATAGTTTATCTATCTATCTATCTATCGATGGCTGAGATGTTTTCTCTGGTCTGGTGTCTCTGCTCTGTGTAGCAACAGAGGAAGTAAGCAGTTATATATCTCTTGCACACACACACACACACACACACACACCCCGCACCCAAACACTTACACAGATTAGGCCTCTGCTTGAATAAAGCAGAAGTGAGAAAAGTCTTGTGGCTTCCCTTCTCTATTACAGATTGCCACATACTAACTGCAATTTATGTTGCATTGTATTTGCACTTCAGCATGTTTTCATAGAAAGAGCTCATAACCAAGGCAAGCAGATACATCTGCTCACCTTCTTCAAAAAAATACAGTCAGCAATTAGTGAACTTCACTGAGGCAGAGATGCTGTGGCCATACAGCGCATACAGACATAGTTATGAAGGAGAGTCTGACTTTATTACTGATCTTAAACGGTAAGCTATTCCTCCTCACATCAGTACTGTATGGTAGAGCTTAATTTGGCGCAGAAGGCACATCAAACTATAGGTTTTTAACGTGTTGGAAGGGGAACTTCTTACGGGAAGGTGCGCCGTTGGATTTACCTCAGGATTTCGCGCGTAAAAGCACAGCGGAGGTAATAATCTGCCTCGTCGGTAGCGGACCCAGACGCCCGCTGATTGGACAAGCGGAACGTCAGTCACGGCGTGGCCCCGCCCCCACCCTCCCATTCAACCACTGGCTCTAATGTAGCCCTATGTTTACTACAGAATTAGTGCATAGCGGACGACAGTCTCCTGAACTGTGAACTTCGAATCACTAAAGATAACCTGTTAGTTTTGCATAAAAGAAGAAAAATATCCCAAACTCAACATGCCCAAGAGAAAGGTATGTAGAAAAGCCGAGCGCGGCGTACGGCTACACTTTTGCCCTTACTAATCAGTCGTGAAATTAGGAAGCCCTCGAGACAATGTTTTTTTAATAAAAAGCCAGGCGACTTCTTTAGAATTAGTGGGCAGGTAAAAAATCGTTGTCAATTTTGCGATTTTTCCCGCCGGATCGCGGTGTTTTTGTCGACGGTGGTGCGTTAAGCAGGAGGGTTTTAGTGGAGCAGCGCTGTGCTGAAGCTCGGCTTGATCTCATGCCCGTGGAACCGCAGCCATGCTGCCCTCTCTCTCTCTCTCTCCATCTCCAACACAGCGCGACGCGAAAACCGACGATTATAAGCGCAATCGTGGCTCAGTCGCCGTCGAATGGTGATTAAAAAATAGCTGGATAGCTCTAATTTTCTGAATGGTGGCAATTTTGCGAAAAGACGGTCGCGTTTTTAAACAATTTTAATGCATTTTCTTTGTTCGCCGTGGAAGAGGAGTGTCATGACGCCTGCTTGCCGCCAGGTGGCAGCGCTGAGGCGGGATCATCGCGCCCCTCCTCCTTACTCAAATGTGTGGAGCCCCTGTCATGAAATGCCTCCGTGAAAAATAATAAATAAAAAAATCGGCGCACCATTTTGCGCTGCTGTCCGCTGACAAATAAACTTATTCACGAATCTTCAGCTAAAGCTCATTGAAGCGTTAATAAACGAAAAAAACGCATGTTTTGGCAAGCCAGCATGTTGCTCACATTACAAACGTGCAGAACAGCACATCCCAATGTTTCTACAAGTTTCCTTTTTGTTTTTCCCGCCCTTTATGTTAATAAAATCATTGCTCATGTTCTAACTTGTGATATTTGTTTTGCTGATTTGCAGGGAACTGATGGAGAAGTCAAGGAGGAGGTGAGAAAGGAAAATTATAAAAAATATCTAAAGCAATTATGGATTGCATATTCAAGTAATCCAAACCAGTACATATGCATTACTTTATATATACATTTACATTTATTTATTTAGAAGGAACTTTTATCCAAAATCGAATTACAAACAAGAAACACCACAAGTAATTTGTCATAAGAGCCAATGATATTTGTAGTACACTGTGCCAAGTTTAAAGTATAAACTCGTTAAGTACACAAACTAGAAGTGACATGAGGACAAGGAACAATTCTTTATTTTTAATAAATAGGATTTGCAATATAGAACTGTTTTCTTGTACTTGTACTTATCATTTGTTTTTTTCTTCCTCTTGTAGCCTCAGAGAAGGTCTGCTAGACTATCAGCGGTAAGTTATTTTGTTATTAAAGAGATTTTTAATGTTACCATTATATCATTATTTTGTTTTTAAAACTTTTCTGATCTCAAAAGACTTCAGGAACTTTAAATATAGCTTGGAAATAGTTTTTAGCACTTCTTGTGTTAATTGACAATTGAAATCCTACAACCAACACTTGTTGGATTTCAACCTACCACTGATCTCAGAGCAACAAGGTCAGAAAACATAATATCTGCCCAAGTTTTTTTTTTTTTTCAGCATAGTTTTGCCAGTCATTTAAGAAGATGTGCTGAATTCAGGATAGAGCAAAACAACATAGGCCATTCTGTGCATTATTTCAACTATTTATTTGAACGTGTATTGTTTAGATATCCTTTTATATATCAAAAAGTAAGTTTGTGAATGAATCCCTTCAGAAACCAACACCTCCAAAACCTGAACCCAAACCGAAAAAAACTCCCAAGGTATGTACACTTTTCATAAACACACTTTTGTAATGATGCTCGTGTGTCACTCATCTCCATGCTTTGGTGTGTAATCTCATACGTATTGCTCTATATTCATTCTTTTGCTCTGTCGTTTCCTCTCTGGCAGAAAGAGAAGGAAGTGAACGATAAAAAGGAAGACAAGAAGGCAAAGGCAAAGGCTGAGGAGTCCAAGGAGGAGAACCAATCAGAAAATGGGGAGACTAAGACCAATGAGGTATATATGTATATACAATAACAGTCTACCTCAAATCAGTGTCTATCATACATAGACATGTCAGGCCATGATGCTCGTAATGTTTTATTGAATATTTTCGAATGAGATTGCCAAAGTACTTAGTAACACAGTTAAAATAATTGTCCAGAAAGACACTGACAGCCTAAACTAAGGAGAATTTTCTAAACCTGACCTCCACTATCTGTAAAGAAAGATTCTGATTGGTGCAGAGGCAGTCCTGGGGCCAGTTGCAAAAACTTAGCCTCTATATTAAGACAGTGTCTTAAGAACTAGTTTAACCAAGGGGTAATCAGTCTTATATTTTGGATTCAGCTTAGACTAATCTAGGTTTTAATGTAACCGAATTTTAAACATTTTGACCAGTCTTAAAGAACAAAATTAGATGACTAACTTTTAAGACTAGTCTAAACCTTTTATGCAGCTGGCCCCTGCTTGATGCTTATTGGTTTGTCCTTTTTATTACACAGGTTGAGAAAACTCCAGACGAGGCGGCAGAGGCCGAGGAGGACCCGAAGACAGAGTAGCACCACGCCTGTCCATCCATCCGTCCATCCTTTCCCCTCTTTCCTTTATCTTCCTCTCTCTTTCCCAATATTCTCTCTCCCTCTCCAGCTCTCTCAACAACCTCCTCTCTGCCCATCACCACCAGAGGAATATTTTTATCAGCGAATTTGTAAATACTGGTTCAGGTTTTTAGCACAAAAAACAAAGCTGACTAAACGAGTCTTGTGTTCGGCCGCAGCTGTATCAGGTGTCTACAACACGAGAGGTGTGAAAAAAGGCGGCGTCTTTCTTTCGTTTTGTTGATTTTCTGTTTTTATCTCTTCTTTCTTTTTTTTCAAGCGGATTTGCTTGGTTTTGGAGTGGGAGGTGGGAGGAGGCTCTCAGTCTGTATGTCCGTTAGTGCTCGTGATGTTGCTCTGGAGTCTGTGATGTTTCTGTATGGGGTTTGTTTTATTTTTCTTTTAAACGTAATTGATTGTCTTTAAGAAAGAGGAACGAGTTCAACAAATGTAGAAGAAAAGAGAGAAAACAACTAAAGACAAACTGCTGGTCTGTAGCTTGGTTTTGGAGTGGGAGGTGGGAGGAGGCTCTCAGTCTGTATGTCCGTTAGTGCTCGTGATGTTGCTCTGGAGTCTGTGATGTTTCTGTATGGGGTTTGTTTTATTTTTCTTTTAAACGTAATTGATTGTCTTTAAGAAAGAGGAACGAGTTCAACAAATGTAGAAGAAAAGAGAGAAAACAACTAAAGACAAACTGCTTACATTCCAGGTTCAGCATTAGATGGTGACTCCTGGCTTTTTAAGAATCATACCACCTTTGCAATTTGTTGAAACATAACTGGGCTTCGTTAGGAGGCCGGAAAAACCCCTTCTGTTGTTATAGAGGACTTTTTTGAAATGACGGGATTCAAAGAAAACGAATTTAAAGCGTTTTTTGGAATTTTTTTAACACTGAAAATGCATCTGTGAAAAAGTACTTGGTGTCCCCTAATAATGCTCTCGGTCTCACTCAATAAAAATCCATCATTGGAATTTTCCTCATAATGTCTGCTGTGGTCTTTTACACTGACTGTATATTATACACTTGTAAGTTATTATTATTAAGGTATTATATACTTGTTTCTATGCATATGCTGTTCTATAATCAGTTATTATCTGTTAATAAGTGGTTGGTGCAATATATATACTCGTATAACTCATAGCAGACTTCACAATTGGTTCACACTGCATTTATATCTTAACAAATGATCCTGAGACTAACAGACCCTAAATGCAAATATAAGTTATATAAGACAAAATAGGTTGTTGCTCTGAATTCTGTGATGTTTCTGTATGGGGTTTGTTTTGTTTTTCTTTTTTAAACGCAATTGATTGTCTTTAAGAAAGAGGAACGAGTTCAACAAATGTAGAAGAAAAGAGAGAAAACAACAAAAGATGAACTGCTTACATTCCAGGTTTAGCATTAGATGGTGACTCCTGGCTTTTTAAGAATCACCACCTAAGTACACAACAGCTGAGACTAACAGACCCTAAATGCCAGTATAAATTATGGCTCGACTAATATTCATAATACAGAATAGGTTTTTACTCTGAAGGTCTTTGCATATAAATGCCACATTCTTCTGCTTATGGGTGAGCTAATGTCCTTTGGAATCATTTATACTCTGTTGTCAGATGAAGACAAAGCTTTTTCTCAAGATTTAAAAAGATTAATTTTCTAACTATTTTCCAGCGATTAAAATTTATTAAGACTAAACAGGCCTTGAAATATGCTGGGATGATAAGGGACTTAGATGAGATAAATGAAATGACCCACTCTTTGTTTATTTGTATATTTTCCCCTCCCCAATTTTATTGGTGTTACTTTCTTTCTTATTTATTTGCACTTATGATTGCTGCTATAAATGTATATTTAGTGTATCATATTCAATTAAAAAAGGTTCTGAGATAAAGGGGAAAGAAAGCATAAAAAGGATTCGGAGAAAACAACAGTCATCAGGTAAACACTTTGTGGCTATAGAAAAAACGCTTTTTTGAATTTAGAGCGTAATAAAAGGTGAGAGCATCTCTCTGTCATTAAAACTGCACACAAATGCATTCAGACAGCTTCGAAAGCTATGATTCTAACTCTTGCTGTGTCTGTAGTTGATGAACGAACAGAAGCATCCATGACCTCTTAAGTTCATGAATCATCTGAGAGGCAACAGACTGACAGCCTATAAATATTCAGTTTAGCCCTGCTTTTCATAGCCACGCAGAAAACATAATTTCAGGACAAAGACATTTTGAGTGTTTACATTTTAATAACTTTTTTGTATTAAATCACAGGTTTAATGCACATGATCCCAATCAATAAAAAAATATTGAAAAACAACATGATATTCACCAACCCAGAATAAATTATTTCTGTATGCATCCAACATTTTGTTAAAGATCTAAAAGGTATGATGGTTGTATTTTAACATTTATTCGATATATGCATCTTATATAATTGTATTACGTAATATTTATGAAACCATACCTTACATAACACATGTATATGGCACAGTAATTGTAGTATGGAACATTTCATTGTGAAGATTTTATGTTTCACCCACACACGCGACCTGTGATCGATGAGACGATGTTGAACATGAAACAAGTCATTTTTTATTGCAATACAACAGCTCTGCTGTTGGGTTCAATAAATCACCCAACTGTACGCCATGCAAAATGTCCGCCCGTGGAAATGGTGAGCTCACCTGTGCGCTCTCAGTGCGCCGCTGGCGGAAGCGCGCGGTACTGCGGTGCACCGGCGCATTGCCGCCGCGCGGGGGCGCTCAAACAAAGCAGCACGAGCGGCGGCTGCAGGCCGAGACGCTGAATATGCATCTTATATAATTGTATTACGTAATCTTTATGAAACCATACCTTACATAACACATATGTATATGGCACAGTAATTGTAGTATGGAACATTTCATTGTGAAGATTTTATGTTTCACCCACACACGCGACCTGTGATCGATGAGACGATGTTGAACATGAAACAAGTCATTTTTTATTGCAATACAACAGCTCTGCTGTTGGGTTCAATAAATCACCCAACTGTACGCCATGCAAAATGTCCGCCCGTGGAAATGGTGAGCTCACCTGTGCGCTCTCAGTGCGCCGCTGGCGGAAGCGCGCGGTACTGCGGTGCACCGGCGCATTGCCGCCGCGCGGGGGCGCTCAAACAAAGCAGCACGAGCGGCGGCTGCAGGCCGAGACGCTGAGAGCAAATACAGCGCAGGCCGCTCTTAGCAAGAGGAGACCTCCCCACGAACCTCCACCCACCGCCTGGACCGGGCCATGGCGGCGGAACCATGCTCGCAGATTGAAGCCGGTGGGCAGCACTCGTTTCTTCCGCGTCTTTATCGCTAGGAAGACTTTAAGCACTGCTTTAGCATTAGCCTTCGAGGCTAAGCTAGGCTAAGCTAAAGCTAACGACTGGTGTTGTTGTGTTTCTCTCTCTGCAGAACTTTATTACCTGATCGCCAGATTCCTGCAGTCTGGACCATGTCAGAAATCCGCTCAGGTGAGGCCGATAGTGGCGTGTGAGTGTCGGTGTGTAGCAGCGAGTGTGTTACGGTGTGTGTAACCCTTGTGTGTTTCTGCAGATGCTGCTGCAGGAGCTGCACGAATACGAGGTGGGTTTCATCCCTCTTCTCCCACTCAAACCCGTTTTTCTCTCTAATATCCCAACATCAGCATATCCTCCTCATGCCAACGCGGCTGCGTGTCTAAATCCTGCGTGTGGTGTGTTTTTTTCCCCCGCTGTGTGTGTGTAGATCATCCCGAAGCGCTGGAGCTGGGATGGAAAGCAGTTTAAGCGAAGCTTTGAAGACTGGGTGAGATTAAATCAACTCTATCGCACACACACGCATGTGAAATTCAGAACCAAACTCTCACAGGTGCTTGGCTCACTTATATTACAGCGTGTAAAACTGAAAAAGCGCTGAATTGAGGGAGCTGTGTTGGCGGTAGGAATATCGTCTATAATATACACGAGGATTGGTTTTGGTGTGGGAAAGTTTTAATTTCGGGAATCGAAATAAAAATATGTGTTTTGAAATGAAAGGCTTTGTGCGTGCCGGCCAGAGGCGTTACGGCAGTGCAAACAGAGCGAGAGGGGATTGGTGGGTTGCTGCGTCACTTAAAGGCGGCAGCCAATCAAACATCAGTTGCTACTTAAGACACTAGGAAGATGGGTGGAGAAGACTTCTGATTGGCTGATACGAGGTGGACGCTTATGTGTGGAGGGAACGGTGGTCTTTCAGGAATGCGCATAAATAAATAAGGATTGTTTTGGCAAAATTCACGCTAGTTTGAAGACTAATAATATTATGTAACATGTTATTGCAACAGTTTTTTCTATATACACTATTGTTCCCTGTTCTTTTTCTATTCTATTTGTTTTCTTTTTATTATAAAAAAATGACCCTCTTAACACTAGCGTTCCCTATTCTTATTCTAATCTATCTACTTGTTTTCTTTTTATTATAAAAAAATGACCCTCTTAACACTAGCGTTCCCTATTCTTATTCTAATCTATCTACTTGTTTTCTTTTTATTTATTATTTAAAAAAAAAACCTTGCTATGTGTACTGCGTTAGGCTAACTGAGACTTGTCACAGCACTTACATATTATTGTTCTTTTGTTGGTTTTGATTGCTTCTATAGTCCATATTTGTAAGTTGCTTTGGATAAAATTTGATGCAATTCAGCTTTGCTGTGCCTCTTATGGTTTATTTATCAAATACCTCCATGTATGTTTTAGGTCTTGTTAAATCAGCACATACCTGCGGATTACCTGTTGCATGTGTGTGAGCAGATTGGCCCATTGATAGATAAACACATTCCTCCCAGTGTTCCTGGAGTCCACAGTTTACTGGGCAGTGGGCGACAGTCATTACTACGGACAGCAAAAAGTGAGATGCACACAATCACTATATACAGCAGCAAACAATGAGAAGCAACAAAGATGAGAGAATAGCGTACATGATTACACAAACACTTTCCCTCACATTCATTTTCTCCCTCTAACACAGATAAATATTTGACAAACAGTTGTTCTCTCTCAGGTTCTTCTCTTACAGTATGGAGTGGTTCTGCAGTAGTTGCCTTGCACAGGGGACGGCCCCCAGAACCACCTCTCAACTGTGCCAAACCACCAAATATAGGTGAGTCCTGTTCTCCAAAATGCTGTGTTGTGTTCTGGCACTGCTGTTTTTGGGTTAAGTTTCAGGAGTCACTGGTGGGTTTGTGAACATAGAGGGAGTCCCCGCTTTCCAAATGAAAATGGTGCTTCATGATTGCTGATTAAAGTCGGCATGATAAGAATTCACCCTATCTATTTTTAATTAATTACTTTTTTAAATAATATTCAATTCAAATATAATAATTTGATTTTATGATGAAATTATCAGACTCTCTCTGGCAATGTATGCAAAAATTGTCCAATCATTTAAGTCTGCTTAAACCTTCCACAATCAATTGCAAGCTCACATTCATTTAGAGTGCAATTAGTGCTCACAGAGATTTGACGATACGAGTATCGATACAGCTGGCCCTGTATCGATATTGTGGCACGTGTGCAGCAGTGGACCACGCTTAATTTGAATACAAGAACACCGTTTAAAATGGAGTAGAAAAGTGCGAGGTTTCTAAAAAATAATTAATAGAGCATAGTATATAGGCTACAGCAAGGTTTAATCTAGCCGCAGAGGAACACAACCGGGGTTGCCTGATATAAAGAGACGTAATCCCCAAAACAGAGCTTCCCACTTGCGCAATACGGAAATATCTGCTAAGTGTGAAACTTATTTTTGTCAACCTGGCAACCATGTGCATGCACTCTCTCTCCACTGTGGATAAACACGCTTGCTTTCTGAAAACACCGGTAAGCT